GAGTTAAATGCATTAATACATAAAAATTTAAGTCATTTTAAGTTTGGTTCGATTTGTTTACAGCAAAGTGACACATGGGCAATCTGTCAAGGGGATAGCTCCTGAGAGGACTTTCTAAGGGAAACCCAGAAACTCCACATGGCCAGCCTGCTGGTGAGGTGCAAAACCCACACCAATTAATAGTGTTCAGTGGCTTTATCCACTTAACCACTGATGGGCTTAAGTTATTTTAGAAATTACATTAATCATCACTGTCAAAGCACTACTTACTGTTCATTAGTTGACTGTTATAAGAATGATAATATAGTTACGTAACTAGGGCCATCGAGAGGAGGAGGAGATCTGGGGATTTTTTCCCAGGCCCCTCCAGACTCTGGCTTATAGAAACTACTATGGAGATCAATAATGGTTTCTATCTCTGTAAATTAATATTATTTTTACTAACAAAAAATAAAATTTTTAAAACTATTTTTTAATAATAAAAAAAACATTCTATGTATCAATATTTCATTAAATGAAATACATAGCAATGCCCCATAGCATGCTTTTGACAGCTCTATATATAACTCAAATATAAGCTATGACGCTTAACATTCAATTGAAAAGGAATGATAAATGAGAGAATTCAAAAGTATAATAAAAAAAAAAGGAGGTAACTATTGTACTTTTGTGCATATAATCTGTGGTTATTACAATTTAAAAGGCAGGCAGACCCGTAGCTACAAGGGCTATGAGGTAGCTAAGACCCCTCAGAGAGTCAGCAATATAGCTAATAGGCCTAGTGCCAGCTGAAAAAAGAAAAACACCAGTCAATTTTTTCAATTTGCCCCTCTCTAGCCCTCCAACAATTTATTCCTGGTTACAGAACTCGATACAGGTTATATTCTAATTTTAAATTGCAATTATAATCTTATACCTATGAAACAATGTTTGCTCCCATAGGTGCAGGGTATATGGTGGGGCAAATTATGCAAAAGTCTTATTTTTATTCCAGTAATTTTCTGTGGAGAATATGCTGCTATGGGTTATATGCACAAAATTACACTAATTAACACGTTAAAAAAATCATAGTTTCAACTTAAAATATGTATATTAAATTCTGTTTTTTAAAATCTTTCAAATCAAAACAGAAAATATGACATAAAGTTTTATTAATTAATAATATTGTAATAAGGTTCTATATTTGAGAATTGAAGTTTTATAATCTTCACGGCGGCACATTATCCTATGGCCAAAAAAAGCAATTGCCTGGGACTCCACCTTCAGGGGAGCCCAAAACCAATCTTTTATAAGAAAATATTCCCCCACAGAAAAATGAAATCAACACTGTACATGGGCCATCTAATTCAAATTTGCCTGGGCCACTGAATCTTAATCTGAAATTCTTATTTAAAATGTAAATTTAATTATATAAATATCTCACAACATTCTGTCATATACATTATAATACACTTTAATATATATTAAAGTGTATTATAATGTATATGACATAATGTATATATATATATTAAAGTGTACTCTGATCTAAGAACAAAAACATTTGAAGCTGTGCACAGTACAGAATATTTAAACACTATGAAGCTAACTAAAACTATGAATAGTTAGCTTCAACATTAAAATGTAATTATAAACAAAAAATTATTATTATTATTATTATTAAAACAACAAAAGCAAGTTTATAATTTTAATATTATTGTAATGATATATTTGCTAATCCTCAATATAAAGTTAACTGAAGAAAAGATTGAATAACTGAGTAAATATCGGATGATTGTAATTAAAGTACCCCCTACTTAATAGTGTGTAGAGAGTATATTCTACCACAAGCTGAGCTGAGTTGACACTGAAAATTCTGAGTTGTACAGCTCAGAATTTTCAGTGTCAACTCAGCTCTCAGCTGGAGACCAGAATTGCAGATAGAATATGGACCAGAGCTATGCTTGAGCCTGAGGTTCTGTAATTTGAGGTATTCGTGGTCCCATCCACCTTGAATTATCAGGACTATGGTACACATTTTGCTAGAAAGGATTGTTGTTATTTTTATCATTTTAAAATATACCCCTTTATTACTTTTAACCATTTTCTTAATCTAAATATTGTTTATAATTCAATTACTTAATATTCAAGTAGTTTTTATTTTAGAGCTTTCAATTTAATAACAGATAAATGAAAATAATCTGTTATTATTACAGATGTAATTTACTTTCAAAAATGGGCTTTGCTGCAACATACCCCAGCTCAACTCAGCTCACAGCTCACCTGTCAAGAATTTGGCTCAGCATTTCCAAATAGCTGAGCTTTGCCAAGCTCAACTAGAGAACTGTTTAACAATATAAATGCAATCAAATTCAGTATAGTGACATCTTGGGATATGGAAAAGACATTTTTATAAAAAATTTAACCCAAAAACTTGCCATCATAGGACTTTTGGCACTGCAAACAACAAACATTCATGCTGTACAGAGATCTTAAATTGAGCAGTATCCTTTGCAAAGGATACTGCTCAAAGTGATCCCCATTCTAAAGGCAATGAATAGTATGTTCATCACTAACCATAATCGATCCTCACAATGTTGCATGGTCTTTCAAGGCTGCCAAATTTGCAACATCTCCTTGATAAATTTGACTGTGGTATGCTTTTTATGCATCTCTCAACCAAAAATCAAACAAATCATGATCCGACAAGCCATAAGTACCACTGCAAAGTTGTAGTATAATCATTTTTTATGGAAATATCTTCTGCATGTTCTGAATTGTCACTATACCAAATATAGTTGCATTCTGACTGCTAAATATATCTTGGAAAAGCACTGAATAAAAGTACTTTAATTCTTTAATTATGTTGGTACTTTAAAGTGTTTCTAAAAATAAGTATTCACAGCAAAGACAGAATCAAGGTCGCCAGTCATGGATAGAGGTCAACTGTATCCTTGCCAGAGATCAAACTCCAGGCATTTATTGGAAAGGAGGTTAAGTGGGCATCAGTCCCACACAAACTGTGATAAGCAGAAACCAGCCATCACCAAGCTTGTCTGCTCAATAGTCTAGTACTCATGAGTCTACGGCAGTCAAGGGACATATTACCAGACATGATTTTAAAGTAAAAAAGTTAATTTTAACTGAAATGTTTTATAGATATACAAAAATTCATTCATTTATTAGTAAGAATCTATGGTTTTAATGAAGTTCTCAAAAAAACAAAACAAAGTTAGAAATCTTTCAAATATAAAAATAAATTACAATTTTTGTTTATTCCATAAATTTTGCTTATTGCAGTTGAAAAAAATTATATTAGATTAAAACTAATCAAGTTTTCACACGAATACAGTAAGGATAAAGATAATTTTAATAGTGATAATGAAAAGTAAATGATTACTTTATAATCCAATACTCTTATAAGGTCTAGTCTCACAATGGGGGCAACTGGGCAGTAGTGTACTGATAGACAGACTCTCTCCCAACAAATTTGAGACAAACTACCCATGAAAAATCCCTGGGCTTTTTGATCATCCAAATTTGATCCCGGGGGCCCTGCAGAGCAGTAGTTGGCACTTTACATGTGTGGAATTTAGGATATTGCTATATTGAAAACAGACTGTATTTGTATTAATGCCTGAATATCTATGCTGACACCTTAACTACTTCAGTCAAGTGTCAACTGATATGTTTTGTTTGTGGTAAGTTTTAATTTTATAAACTTTAACTGAAGAAATGTAAGATTAATAAACATCATTCTCATAATGCTTTATTCTAATAATTCAGTTAATAAATAATAAATCTCAATGAAAATAAAATTAACAAATGTATTATGCTATTAGTAATTGATATTTTAGTCTGTTATAGTTAATTACATTAACATTTGAGTTCAAATGTATATATTTACCAGCAATCATAGATGAAGATAAATTATATTTTGAGAGTGGTCAATAAGTTTAAACAAAATATGTATAAAATAAATAATGTAACCTATTCAAAATATTTACATTAATTCCATACAAGTAGGACAACTATGCAATGTACAGTACATGATAAATATATCATGCATTGCAAAATACACTCAAACCTCAATGTAGCACTATTCTAAATAACATCACACTTGTAAAATGCCAATATTTGCAAACAAATCTTCTCCATTAATATTAAATAGAAAACTCTTCAATATTGTCATTACCAAATTCATTACCAAATTCAAATTTACACACAATATTGCATTGCAAATAATATTGTCATTACCAAATTATACTTCTTTTAAATTCTAAAACTCATGTAGACATTACTATATGTAATTTTTATCTAGTACAACTTTAAAGTGAAAAAACTTATTTAAATTATTTATCCCTATATCATAATTTCCAGTATACATTGGCATGAATTTCACCCCCTTTTAAAATGGATCTAGGTATATCTTTCTTGTTCCAATTGTAAGTGTAGACTGTAGAGATTGTGATTAATCTCTTGGAGTAAGTAAATATCAACATATACTGGAAACCTACTTATCACCCTATTTGCTCCATATATCTCTGTGGATCCCTCCATATAAAGCTCTCTGCCTTCAGATCTTTAATACAGAAACATTGATATTGTATAATAATTTAAACTGCCTTCTTCTATCAACATAGTTACAAGGTAAAAAATATTTATTTGGAAATATTCATTAATAGTATATTAAGAATAGATTCAAACAAAGGCCATGTATAAATCAAGATTTAATTTAGAATGATTATATTTTTATTTTTTCATATTCTAGCCAATTTTTAAATCTTTTGCATATTATAAGGTGTTTTAAGAGCACCCAAATTCATCAAAATTTATTTCTAGGTGTATCAATTATAAAAACCCTATATAAACAGAGTGTTTTATATTTACTAAAGTTTAAAAATATCGCAGGGCTGTTTGATTCATCGATACTGAATAATAATTAATCTGTTGAAATGATTGTGATATCTATGTAAAGAATTATGAATAAACAATTGCAATATAATGCCAAAGGCATACTAATCATATATTATAAAATCACTAAAAAGAATTTTTATACATTAAAAACACAATTCATTAAAAGAAAACAACATAATACAAGTATTTTATATTATATCTGAGATTTGTAACTAAGAAGCAACAAGAATTAAAAAACTTTGTGCGTACTTTCATCTTTTACGAAAAAATACGTACAAATGTAAATGCTATTCTGTAATGTGTGATCTTTTCAGTTCGAATATATACACGCTATATACAACACATTTTTACACATCATAAAAATATCACTGTCCATATCACATGGAATTGGAAAGAGTAAAATGTTCGTCTCTTCCTCCTGTAGAAGAATTTGATTGCATCATCAAACATTCTAATAAGTTCATCATTCTACACTGTACAGTCAAACTTTGTTTTTGCAAAGAGATCTGCTCTTTCATCAGTTGCAGCGCCTGATTTTCGGCCTGTTCGGCAATACGATTGCAACGTTTCTGTTCGATCAACATTTCCCTGAGATACTTTGTACATGTTCTTTCTGAATTCCTCTTATGTTTTTTCATTGGAGGAATTTGGTTATTATCCTGTAAGGTATACTGATTAATACTTTCTACAGGTCGATTACTGTCTTCTAGAAATTGTCTGTATGCTTGTTGAGATGATGTTTCACATGAAAGAGATGGAGATGAAGTGGAAGTATTTTTTTCAATACTTGATTGGCGATTGTGCGAAATTTCTGATATTGTTATAATTGGCTGTAGAGTTTCATTTAATATTCTACCCGAATTCGAATATGTCTGTTTCTCTTGAATGGAAACCTCCAACTGATTCATACTTGATGGCCGAACGATGCGTTTTTGATTTGTATAATTGGTCGACTGTACAGAAGAATAAGAATTAACTTGAGAAACGTGTGATTGCATCATATTATTTGATCGTTTTGTTTGGTTATCTGCATATATTCCTTGTTTATTATTACCATTAGTTTGTTTCGACTGTTGATACAGTGGTGGCGGTTCGGAAATCGGTATTACTGATATGCTATTGCTCATCGAAGATTTCACTGGCAGTATATGCATAGACGAGTTGCTATTGTTTATTAATCTCGACGTTTCGGTCTCAAAGGAATTATCATTATCCACAGAGACTGCAAAATTATCTTGGGAAGAACTAGTTATTTGTAAATCATCACAACTGAGTGATCTTTTCACTGTAATGGGGCTTTGTGTTTTATCAGAATCATTTGAGGGTGTAGAATAATGAGATAATGGTATACTCTCATTTGGTCTAAAATTATCAGGTACTGGAATGTGACCAATAACATCGTTAACATGATAATAATATTTCCAATTCGACGTGCATCCTTCCCGCAAAGTTTTTGCCTTTTCTCTTCTGAAAAAAAATAAAATAAAGTTACATTAATTTCTTAATTATGAATTCACAGAAATATATCTAGGAAAGTATATTTCAAATAGTTAATTTCCAATTACAGTCATTAAAATTAGAGTAAAAAACAGACTGTAAACTATCTTAACTTATATACCTAAGATAAATATACATACAGTGCAATAATAAATTATGCAACCTTATTATACAAGTAAAAATTTAAACAATGCATTAATTTGAAAGATTTAATTACATATTCTTTATATAAGGAGAGATTCATTAATTACATGTACAATTTTTAAGCCACTTTTGATCCCCTCCCTCCCTGTGTACAATAATGACCTTTTAGGAAACCTCCTTCCTTTAATTACATATATAGCAGTTCATGGACCTCCTGACATTGAAGAAATGATTTTAAAATGCTCTGAAAATATTTTCTACCTGAGAGTTTATTTATATTAGTTGTATGTAGTCATGTAAGAGCAAATTTGTATGCCTCTAATACCATTGAAAAAATTCACTTGTAGAATAATGTATTTTTTGTAACCCTCCTTTCCCTTATACTGTACATATCCCCTAATATTGAATCAGATTTATTATTTATTATTTTCTTTCTTTTTTTCTTTTGTATAGTATACAGTCATGGTGGTCAAATTGTTGCTTGTTAGCTGTGAATAGCTCTTCCAGCCCCTTACCGTGGCTCCCAAACAGCCTACTCATACGATTTCTTTTTGTAAACTTAAACTTTATCTATATATAATACTGTTTTAATAGAGAATGCAACTCTCAAATTTCTTAAAAGCAATATATGGTTCCTGTAGTGATAAAGTTTGGCCACCCCTGGTTTATAGAATACATAAAACAAACAGTAGCTGTTGTTTTCAATTGGCACTTGCAGTATACCCTAAACCTAAAAAATTCTGTATGTATTTCATTTAATATCTCAGGTTGGGATAAAGATTAAATAATGAAATTTTGCACAGTAATGTGTATATAAAAGGCAGTGATGCTATTGAATTTTGGTCTTTAAAGGTCGAGAAGATGAGAAGATAGAAGAGGAATAGATGGGAAATTAAAAGTTTACTTATAAGAAACTTACTTAGAAATGCAAAGAACTTCAAATGTTAAATCTTGAACATTTATTTACTAAAGCCTCAAGAGAAGTGTTTAGCACAATTCCAAGCAGGGTATTAAATAGAATTGGCTTCACATTATGTGGGAAGAATACAAATGCAAGATACAAAGAACCAGGGTTTGGCAAAACTCAATATTTTGAANTTTATATGATTTACATCACTTATTATAAAAATTTCCCTTTAAATTTAACTATATTCACATGAAATAACTCAAAATATTGTTACGTCGGTAACAAGTTGAGCATTCGGAGAAGGTAACTCATGCATAAATCACAATTGCACTGTAAATATAAATAATATAAACATTTACATAATAGATTATTTTTAGCGGCTGCTTGGGATTTGAAATTAATCATTATAAATCAGTTATACTTAATAAATATCACGTAAATTATATAAAGCAATACTTAAACTTCTCCATTATTAATCTACTTTGAAAGTTCGGAATATCAATTAAATATAGCAAATATAATTTGAATAATTACAATACTTAAATTTATATCAAGATTTTCAATTTAGATATAACAAATCACAAATGTAATTTTAATTCAGATTTTTATTAGCATCTCTAAAATATAACTTTATATATATATATTTTTTTTAATAAAGTAACAACTTTCCCATGCTCGTAGTTCGACAGTCGAGTCGTACGCAAAGGATTACATTAATTTATTAGCGTATATTTTATTAAAAGTGTACAAAATTTACTCATCTAAAGTCCATTTTCTAACAATCAGTCAAGATTAGTGCAGATTTAATTCAATTTGGTCGGTTGAAGCATTCACTAATCAATTTTGAATGTTGCAATATTAATAAAGGAAACTGTTTATTATTTCAAAATTATCTGAATTTGTGGCCATAGTTAAATGTAAACTCAAATTTATTATTATTAATACCTAGCAGTGGAATTTAAGTTGTGTTATTAATGAATTCGGATTTCTTTTTTTTCCACTTTAACTTTCATATAGATATTAATACAAATTGGAATTGAGTACAGAATAGAAATTGTTCCAATTGTAAGTGTAGACTGTAGAGATTGTGATTAATCTCTTGGAGTAAGTAAATATCAACATATACTGGAAACCTACTTATCACCCTATTTGCTCCATATATCTCTGTGGATCCCTCCATATAAAGCTCTCTGCCTTCAGATCTTTAATACAGAAACATTGATATTGTATAATAATTTAAACTGCCTTCTTCTATCAACATAGTTACAAGGTAAAAAATATTTATTTGGAAATATTCATTAATAGTATATTAAGAATAGATTCAAACAAAGGCCATGTATAAATCAAGATTTAATTTAGAATGATTATATTTTTATTTTTTCATATTCTAGCCAATTTTTAAATCTTTTGCATATTATAAGGTGTTTTAAGAGCACCCAAATTCATCAAAATTTATTTCTAGGTGTATCAATTATAAAAACCCTATATAAACAGAGTGTTTTATATTTACTAAAGTTTAAAAATATCGCAGGGCTGTTTGATTCATCGATACTGAATAATAATTAATCTGTTGAAATGATTGTGATATCTATGTAAAGAATTATGAACAAACAATTGCAATATAATGCCAAAGGCATACTAATCATATATTATAAAATCACTAAAAAGAATTTTTATACATTAAAAACACAATTCATTAAAAGAAAACAACATAATACAAGTATTTTATATTATATCTGAGATTTGTAACTAAGAAGCAACAAGAATTAAAAAACTTTGTGCGTACTTTCATCTTTTACGAAAAAATACGTACAAATGTAAATGCTATTCTGTAATGTGTGATCTTTTCAGTTCGAATATATACACGCTATATACAACACATTTTTACACATCATAAAAATATCACTGTCCATATCACATGGAATTGGAAAGAGTAAAATGTTCGTCTCTTCCTCCTGCAGAAGAATTTGATTGCATCATCAAACATTCTAATAAGTTCATCATTCTACACTGTACAGTCAAACTTTGTTTTTGCAAAGAGATCTGCTCTTTCATCAGTTGCAGCGCCTGATTTTCGGCCTGTTCGGCAATACGATTGCAACGTTTCTGTTCGATCAACATTTCCCTGAGATACTTTGTACATGTTCTTTCTGAATTCCTCTTATGTTTTTTCATTGGAGGAATTTGGTTATTATCCTGTAAGGTATACTGATTAATACTTTCTACAGGTCGATTACTGTCTTCTAGAAATTGTCTGTATGCTTGTTGAGATGATGTTTCACATGAAAGAGATGGAGATGAAGTGGAAGTATTTTTTTCAATACTTGATTGGCGATTGTGCGAAATTTCTGATATTGTTATAATTGGCTGTAGAGTTTCATTTAATATTCTACCCGAATTCGAATATGTCTGTTTCTCTTGAATGGAAACCTCCAACTGATTCATACTTGATGGCCGAACGATGCGTTTTTGATTTGTATAATTGGTCGACTGTACAGAAGAATAAGAATTAACTTGAGAAACGTGTGATTGCATCATATTATTTGATCGTTTTGTTTGGTTATCTGCATATATTCCTTGTTTANGAGAAGAGGGAGAAGATTAAGGCTTAAAAAGTCAGCCTGAAAGGCAGTACCACAAATGTGGTTTACAAAGAGGTAGTGGGTATATGAAACTCTATTTTTCAGTAAATATTTACACTTTATTCAGATTTATCGTATCTCGGAATCCCATAATATTTGAAAGTTGAATTTAGGTGCATTAGCAATCCATAGTTTGAAACAAACAAAAATCAGTAATGTTACCAAATTATTAACAACTAATGATTGAGAATCTAAGTGAAGTACCGAGGGAGGGTTATTTCTATCAAATTGCAAAATCCATGCAGGCAAAGCCACGGATAACAGCTAGTTATTCATATAAATAGGTAAACAAAATAATTAGATTTAGAAAATTAAATAAATCTTATGTTAAATAAACTGATAAAGTTTATAGCAGGGGTGACCAACATGAGGCCCACGGGCCGCATGCGGAACGCCTGGAGTCGTGTTGCGGCCCTCGGAGCTAGGGTCAAATGAACATAAATGTTAACTTTATTGTTCATATCACCAAATGAACATTAGAAGAGTTAAAAAGGTTTGGAAGAGTTCTATGAAACGTAGAGTACAGTGCATATTCTGCGTTTTACAAACATGCTCTATCGATAGTTTCGCTATGTGGAAACACTTATGCGTGTGAACAACTTTTTAGTCGCATGAAGTACATCAAATCACAAGTGAGAACACGAATTACTGATGTTGATTTGGAAAACTGTTTGCATGTAGCGACAACTCACTCGAGATCAATTTTGATGCACTTAGTTCTGTAAAACAAAGATGTCTCACTTTTAAATATTTTAAAATTGTCTAATAAATATGTTTGATTCTCGGTTATGTTTTATTTTCTTCAAAAAATAAAAATACCTATTTTTTGTGTTTTTTTACATTAAACCACGCAAGTGTTTGACCACCATCTCACCTATTGGAAAGCAGCGATGTGGTTGAAGCTGTAGCACGCTTGCTTGTTTACTTTAATTAACAAAAAAAATATTAGGTGCGTGGCCCGGCAGGAAATATTATTTCTGAAATTTGGCCCGCCTGCTAAAAAGGTTGGCCACCCCTGGTTTATAGTATTTATACATTGTCAATATCAATTTTTTTTTTCTTATAAAAAAGTATAAAAATCTGTGAAATTGCATTTCAAATATTAAAAAAAAAGTGTAAATTTAAATCTCTTTTTAATGTAATTAAATTAAATACTTTCAATAATATCCTTCCATAACATATACTGAACGTATTCACCTTTTTTCTTCATTTTTTTTAAAAAATACACTTGAAAAAGTAAATTTAAACAAATAAACAAGCATGCACTTCATTAATAACCTTAAATATTTACAGAATTAAATAATTTTGTAATTTTCCTGTAAACATTTGTCAATATCAATGTTTTTCTTGTTTAAACGTAGAAAAATCTTAAAACATAAACACAAATTTTCCCGTCCATTTTTTAATTTTATTTCTTTACAGCAATTCATTAATAACCTTGCAAAATTTTAAAAAATATTTAATTCGTCCTAAAAGTTTTAAACTTGCGCCCCAAAACAGTAGAAAAAAAAAACTCAATTTTCCCTAAAAAAAACACAACACATAAATTATAAAAATAAATAAATAAATATGTGTTTTTTTTAAGGGAAAATTGAGGTTTTTTCCCTACTGTTTTGGGGCGCAAGTTTAAAATTTTTAAGACAAATTAAATATTTTTAAAAATTTTGCGAGGTTATTAATGAATTGCGCACTTATTTATTTATTTAATTTTATAATTTAAGTGTGCAATTCATTAACAACATTACAAAACTTCAAAAAATATTCAATTTTCCTAAAAATTTTATAAACAATCTCCCCAAAAGCCTAAAAAAAAAAATATCCCATAAATTCAAATTAAGTCACATGGTCCCACCATTTAATAAAAAAAATAAAATAAAATAAAACGAAATGAAATTAATTAATTTACAACTGTGATGCCGCGTATCGAGCACACACACACACATACATACATACACACACACACTACAGAAACACAGCATCACCTATTCAAAACACAATAGAAAAATTAATCGGTATGAATTAAACACGGGAAGTCAGTGTTAGAGAAGACAAGGGAATACACAAGGAACGTGTTAAATTAGTATTATTCGTACAATTCTTACCTGTACTCGGCTGTCAAGTTCATGACTTTGGTTCTGATTTCGTTGACCGATCTGTCAATCCCGTGTTCTATCAACTTCTTGCCGATGCTGAGATAAACGTGTCCATTCCTCTTGGAGCTCCTCAGATCGTAAAGATGCTCCTTCCATAGACTTATTAGCGTAACGGTCTCGTGATGAGACCAGTTGACCATACGTTTGCGTTTAAAAAGTGAAGAATAATCTACTTTGTTGATGTAGTAGTTAGGCGGTGTCGTCTTTGCCGACTCCATCTTGTTTTTGACTGTTGCTTAGCGACCGTTGCTAAGAGACTGATTATTGTTAGTTGCTAGGCGACCGTTATTTTGCAGGAAATTAAAAGACTGATTTGATTTTTGTTAATTACGTATAGTTTTATATATATAAGATGTTTCGTCCGTTGATGTTTTATACTCTTTTTTTTTTTGCCATTTTTCTCCTGTTTTTCGCTACAATATTTTACTTATTTAATTTTTTTAAATTTTGGAAGTGGTGTAGAAAGCTAATTTTTGCCTCTTACATGTGAAAAATCCTCTGAAAAAAAACTCTTAAAAAATTATAATAATTTAAACGGAAAGTTTAACACTAAAAAGTTAAAAACTGCAGTAAAAAAATATGCCAAAATTCTAATATTTTTATGTATTAAAAGCTGTAAAATTAATACAAACAACTCTACGCCCCCTACAATCCCCCAATACCTCTAAAAAATCCTCTAAAAAAAATTATGGAGTAGATTCAAAAAATGAAACAGAAACTATCACTTAAAAAAGTAAAGAAAAAATATCAAAATTTTAATGTTTTTATCTGTAATAATAATACAGAATGAAATTAGACAACTTTTTCCCTTTTATAATCCTTCAAAAGTAAAAAAAATCCTCTAAAAATCATCAAAAAAATTATATAGGCTAAATTATAGAATTTTCACTAAAATTGCATAGCAATATCACAATAAAAAACTAAAAACTGAATCATTTTATGTGTCAAAACTTGTAAAAATAGTAGAAAATAAAATTAGGCAGCTTTATGCTCCTTACAATCCCTCAAAACTCTAAAAAAAAAAAAAAACCCAAATCTTTCTAAAAAGTTAGAATAATTTATAAAAATTAAACACAAACTTTTACTTAAAAAATATACCAAAAAATGCAGCAAAATTACAGAAAAATATACTAAAAATGCAGCAAAATTACAGTAAAATATACCAAAAAATTTAATTTTTTTACATATTAAAACCTATAAAAATAATACAAAATAAAATTAGACAACTTTATGCCCCTTACAATCCCTGAAAACTTTAAAAAAAAAAATCCAATAATTATAGGCTAAATTATAAAAATTAAACAGAAACTTTCATTAAAAAGCTAACAAAAAATACAGCAAAATCACAGTAAAAAATATCAAAAATATTGATAAAAATTCAATATTTTTATAAATTAAAATCTGTAAAAAGTAAAATAAAATTCCATTTTGTTATGGCTACAATAAAGTATTTTTTTCTTTTTTACTTTTTATAATTAAAACTGTGGTGATTAAAATACAGATAAACAGATGTTACTTCAAATAAGATATTTTCTATTGCTAAGTAAACCAGGATAATGTACTTTATTTCATTTATATAATAAAAAATATATTAAGAAATCTCTTAAATACATCACCCATTTTGCTTAATATATTTTTCATCACTTTGTTAATTAATAATGGCTGCTTGACTGATATTATTAAGGATATTATTCAATTTAAACAAGAAAAATCTAAATTGTAATTACAATACTTTTCTTGATAGAATCAATCCAGAAAGTAAACAAGCATTCATTTTAAAGTGTGTATTTTAAATGTAAAAATTAAATTTACCAGAAATTTAGAGAAAAAAAAATGTAGTAAATAAATATTTGTGTGTGTTTAATATAAAATAAATTTTGCTTTAAACATTTGCTTGTTAATTTAGGAAAAGTGGAACAGATTTTAAAGCCTTATTGATTTGTAGGTAGGCTATGCTCGGGGTCTTGAAACAGAGGATTTTAAAGCCTTATTAATTAGTAGACAGGCTACAGATTTTAAAACCATATTGATTTGTAGATAGGATATGCTCAGGGTCTTGAAACAGAGGATTTTAAAGCCTTATTAATTAGTAAACAGGCTACAGATTTTAAAACCATATTGATTTGTAGATAGGCTATGCTAGGGGTCTTGAAACAGAGGATTTTAAAGCCTTATTAATTAGTAGACAGGCTACAGATTTTAAAACCATATTGATTTGTAGATAGGCTATGCTCGGGGTCTTGAAACAGAGGATTTTAAAACCTTATTGATTTGTAGATAGGCTACACTCGGGGTCTTGAAACAGAGGATTTTAAAGCCTTATTAATTAGTAGAGAGGCTACAGATTTTAAAATCTTATTAATTTGTAGATAGGCTACATCCAGGCTCTTCAAAGAGAGTATTTTAGACCCTTACTGATTAGTTGATAGGCTACACTCAAGCTCTTAACAAAACAAATTTTAAAGCCTTACTGATTTGCAGCTAGACTATACTCAGGCTCTTAAATGAACAGCTTTTAGAGCCTTATTGATTTGTATATAGGCTACACTCTGTCTTTTGAGAGAATAAATATTTGAAAGCCTTCCTAATTAGAAAATCAATTACACTTAAAGAGCCTTGAAAAGCAGCTACAAACATGTTTTATCCATCAAAACAACAAAGTTTATCTTGAGGAAAAAAATTCTACTTAATAAATAATTCTGAAGTGTCATCCTTTCAAAAATAAAACCAAACTCTGATCTAATTAGCATCTTTTTCTACATTTATTATACCAGATAACTGGTAGGCACAAGTTTTATAATGTCATCTACAATAAATAAAAGCCTTTAAAGTGACTAATTGCTTTCTAATAATGGCATTTAACTACCAATCGATACAATCAAAACAGAAGGGAATTTAATAGATTCGATAAGAAAATACCAAACAAGGATCAGTTATTCCACCATTTTCTTCTTCTTTTTTTTTCTTAAATGAATGAACAGAGGAGGAAGAGGAGGAGAAAAAAAAAGGGTTCATCTTAAAATAAATTTTTCACATATGGCTACCAAATCCTTGAACTATTCTCCGTAGATTCACAAGAAGATTTTCTTTAAAAGGTCATCACTATTAAATTTACATCGTGGCATTTAACTGGGGGTCAACGATAAGTGACGACTTTATTCTTTCACACTGGATAAAACACCAGAAGATTTAACTCTTCACAGTTTAATTTACAGTAAATTTTTGGTTTCTCCATGCTTCAAATTATGTTTCTTGGCATCCTGAATTTTCGGAAGAAGGGAGAGATTTGATAAGTGAAAAAAAAAAATAAAACGGTAGTGAGGAAACACACCCACACCAATCTTCCTGTCAACATCATTATTGTTCGCTAATCACGAGTTTATTACTTCGGATTTTTTAGTGCGTGATAAAAATATTTTAATGTTGTAGTCCCCATTCGTATAATTTGTTTACGCGTTAGTGATATTGCAACTTGATACTGTCGGGTTTTTGATAAAAATATAAGATAAATCAGAAATGGGATCCTCGGACGAGTGAACAAACCTGAAAATTTCATTTAAAAATTCATTCCCGATTCGATTTTGTGTGTTAATTAAAGTAAAACCTGCGTAAGCCGGATCTAGATTATAAACGTATAAACAGTAAATGTACCAGTCGACCCCCCTATAACACTGTTGATAATTCCGTTTTATATGAATTTCATGTTGTACGAGTCACTTAGATTTTACAAATACTTGAGACGTTCACAGCCCGGCACACGTATTTGTAAAATCTAAGTGACTCGTACAACATGGAATTCATATAAAACGGAATAATCAACAGTGTTATAGGGGG